GAACACCCTCCACTCCCTCTTACCCCTCAATTCCCGGCAAAGCCTCGAAGTACTCCTAAAGCCCTAAAGACCCACGTTCACACTCTGCGTTCCGTCCAATTCTAAGGTTCACAAAGGTTCCTAACAAGGTCAAGAAGGCCGAAACATGTATCAATGTTGGTGAAGATTTGCATTTCAATATAGTTATACCGAGACCCCAAAAGAGAAGCACGTGAAGCTGCGAGAGCCGCCGATTACACCGTTTGGGCCTGGCACGATGCTGCGGCCATGGACGGGGCGGAAACCGCTTCCGCCAAGTAAGAAGAAGGTGGAATTTGATTCATTTCAGCTGCTACCACCGCATAAGAAGGGGGTTAAGCCGGTGCAGGCACTAAGGCCGTACTTGGCCGGCTCTAGTCTGAAGTATGTCTAGTTAAGGGAGGAGATATTGGGGAAGCCATTGACAAACGAGGAAATTGAGGATCTTATTTAGGGGTGTATTAAGATAAAGCGGCAATTGAATATGGGTATGTTATCAATTCTTGTATATGATTCATATTTCTTTTTAATAATGTAAGTCTATTAGTTGATTCATTGGTAGTTGTTATGGAATGATTAATCCTCTTTTATTTATCAATTTATTTATTTTTTGGTGAGTATGATGAAGAAAATTTGTTGATGGTATGGTTTGAATGTTTAATTTTAAACGTGAGGATGGTATAATTTGTTGATTGCATTAATTATTTATTCCTTTCTTTCTTTCTTTCTGGGCTAGAAATCTCTTATTTTTGGCTGATTTAATGGAAAAATGCTAACTTGTAGAATTGATATGGATATGCTTTAGTATAATGACCTTAAAATTTTACTTGTAGAACTGATATGGATATGCTTTAGGGGCAAAATCGTAACTTTAACAATACACAATTTTTTTTAAAAAAAATTTTCATTAAACAAATAGTTTAACTGTAAGGATAAAAATGTAAATTCATATCAATCCATTAACCACAAACAGTTAATTTGGGTCTCTCTGTTATATTGTGGCCATCTTTTATCTACGTGTACAAGTTGAAAACCTGAAGGGTCCTTTGTGTAATTTGCCCATAAAATTATATTAGTCTATGACATATATATGTTATATTTTTTTATTTATTTAAATTCATATGCAAATATATTTATTATTATTTATTCAATTAATAATATATGTAATAATAAGCTAACTATTGGTATATACTACAAGAAAAAAGGGCTTCTACGAGGGGCCAAAAACACCGTGGAAACATATTCATGGCGCATTCTATGCCCTCGTGTATGAGGATTCCGCAAATACTCAATTTTTTTTACGGGAAAAAATCTATCTCGTAGAAAAATAATAGATTCGCTGCAAAAAATAATTTTGTTTATATATATTAAATTTATTTACAACATGGATATTTTTCCATTAATAATTAACCTACGAGGTGCCGAGGCATGTTGTAAAAAAGTTTTTTACGGCGAATTGTAACTACCCGTAGAAAACTCACGATGGATGCCGTAGAAAAGTTTTCTACGGCAAGTTGTAACTACCCGTAAATAATCTGACGAGGTACAGAAGCATGCCGTAGAAAAGTTTTCTAAGGCGAATTTTAACTACTCGTAAATAATCTCACGAGGCATTGAAGCATGCCGTAGAAAACTTTTCTACGGCAAATTTTAGGTACCCATAAATAATATAAACAATTCTCACATGTATGCCGTAGAAAAGTTATTTAGGAGGATTTTCACTTATTTACGGTATTTCAAGCTCCCCGTAAATAAAATATATATGTATATATATTTTATAAATAATACACCCTTAATTAATTCCAGTTAATCATCTACTACCTATAATTCACATCACTTTCAGTTATAATTCAATTCAAAAAAACATACATTTCCCATTAAATATATCAAAAGAGTTAAAACATTTTTACAATTCATCATTTATCAATGTTCTAAAACAGGAACTACATCCATTTGTCAAGAAAATCATCAATTTCTTAACACTTCTGTTGAAAAATTGATAAACCTTCTAGCACTTTAGTTTTAGTCTACACTTGTCAAAAAACCACCTCACTTTACAAAATCCAAGGAAGTAGCTGCAAAATTCACGGTACAAAATCCAAGAAAGTAACTGTATCACATAAGTCTCAAATTCAGAATGCTAATAAAAAAGGGAAATAACAAGATTATCATTTATGAATCAAACGCAAATATTTTGCTAAGAATTTTTGCAAATAATATTCCTTAATTGAATACTAGATTTTTGCAAGGATGTATGAGAACAGACAATATCATAATCTCTTTATATTCATGAACACTATAATATCATAATATGTAGTCTCTTTATCTCATGATTATGAGCAAATCTGAAACATTCTGAAACAAATCTTAAACATTGTAGGTTTTTGGTGCAACGATTATGACCAAATTTGAAACTTTGAATACAAGTCAAGTCTTATATATATATATATATATATAATCTCAGTTTGCTGCTAGTTTAATTTATATATGTTTTCTTTTTATGTTCTATTTTAATAATTTTTCAAATTTTCTGTTTTTGGGCTGCAGTAGTATTTATGAGTCATATTTTGGTCCAAATTATTGTAATGAACCTTTGTTCATGGTTTTTAGTTGGTCTATATTAGTTTAATTAGTCAAAGTTTATATGTTTTTATTTATTTCTTTTCCCTAAACAAAGTTCTCAAGTTTCTAAATAAGACTCCAAATCTTAGCTATGAGTGCTTCAATTAAGTAGAGAACATCTTTTACAGGAATTTTCCAACAAACCTTAAGTGTGATGGTTATGGGAATCTAGGGTGATCGTTCTACTCTTTTATAGGTTTAACCCTTCCATCTTTTAATTATTCACTTCATAGCATACCAAAAATCACCCAAACAACCAAAGTTATGGTTCATGTGTACTATCACTCTCAATCTCTTTGTTTCCTGTTGAAGCCCTAATACCTCACTTTCACTTTCACTCACATTTCATTCAATATTTGTACTCGACATCAGATCGAATTGCTCCAAGTATTTCTTTCTCTTTATATATATCGATATGGTTCTTGATGTTGTGAAAATAATTTTTTTTTACTTCAGGTGACTTGAGTTAGCAGGTTGCTATATAAGTTTCTTTGTCTAAGGTAATTTTTTAAAAATCACGTGTAGCAGTTCTTCAACATTTTACTAATTAAGTCAATTAATATATATGATATTTTTATGGATCAGCAATTTCATTGTGAATAATTGCAAAAGGCCCTAACAATAGAAGGGAGAAATTAATAATTTGTAAATGAGTTGTAAATTTTCAAGGCAGCTCTTCCATATTGATTTTTCATAATTTGCAAGATTATTATCAACACAAGTTTTGTTTTTGTGTCAGAAGTAAAACGAAAAAATGATAGTCTATGTAAACAGTTGGATCTCTTATCTTGGACACACTTTATAAGGTTAGTTAATTGAGCCCCAAGTGTTATTTCAGGTATGTATTAATTACCTCATAGAGATAATTCCTTGTTTGTTATTGCTTCAGTTCTTAACCTCTTAAATTGTTTTCGCATTGTTCTAATCTTAATTTTTAAATTGTTTGACAGATTAAAAAATGATATATAGTTTCTATAGTATTTCCCTTTCTTAGTGCTAAGGAGCCTCTCATACAAATTGTTGTTTACAATTTCAATCTTTTGTATAACAAGTGGATAGTATAAACTATAGATGATTTTTACCCACATTTGGTACCTTCCAGTGCCTATCCCACCTTGCCAATTTTCCATCCATATTGGACCAGAGGATTTTGGTTGTAGTATATGTCTGCTCATTAGTATATGGTCATAAATAATTAGAATATGGAGAAGTCATTCTCCAATTTACCTATAAATATTGTTCTCCAATTTAAGTAAAGGTATAAACAACATATTAACAACTTCTCCTCCACAACAATCAATCAAAACCTCCACATACGATGATCCCATACTCCCATGCTTTCAACATTTTAAAACAAGAAATAAAAATGGCCTCCACACGGGCCGATGTACCAATAAGGTAATAAAGTTCAAGATACACCGCAAAATTGGTCACTTAAAGGCACGTGACCTCCCTAAGTATGAGTATAAAAAGCATTAAAATTGTGCAATCATAAAAGAAGCTTAGTAGTTGACCTTTATTGTAGACTGGAATCATAAAAATTCTGATTCTTCTGCTCCTAATGAACTGGTGATAATCAATCCTGTCAGGAAAAAATATTTCAAAAATGTAATGCCAACAAATACATAAAAAAATCAGATCGTATGACTAATTTAAGAAATATAATAATAAGTTAATGAATGACTAATTGACCTGAATAATTTTTACATATTTCTTAGGCCATACAACCGAGCTTGTGTTAGTATAACGAAGATAAAAATTTCCATTTAGGCTTGCTCGATACAAAGGACAGTCGTCGACTAAGATATCATCAATCCATACTTTCCAACAATCTAGACCAATTGGAAAATGATCTTCTAACGCATTAGGATCCGTTGCTGCAATCTCATCCTTTGTAACAACTACACCTGACCCATTCCAGTGTAACAACTCACATTTTAAACCTTATAGATCTTCTATAATAGGACTTGGCATAGCATTAGACTGAGAACCAGTGCTAGCATATTGGGACTACAATTAATAAAAACATGGATTAAAAAAAACTAGTACATTAAATTCAAATGCTACATAGGCAAAAAATAATACGTATATAAATTGTTGTAACACTTACCAACAAGGCTTTCATCTCATTCATTATTTCAGATTTCATCTCATTCATAATCTCATTTCTCATTTCATGCTTGATTTGTTCTACTCTTTCTTCAACTATATCTTTTACTCTTTTTGCTTGCACCATTTGAAAACCATTTGCCTCAATTTTAGAGATTGTTGCTCCAAAACTAAGGCCTCTAACTCGGCCTTTACATTTCGGACCAAGTACATGAGTGACTCCATTATCTCAAAGAGAGCTTGTGCATTTAGGTTGGGTTTTGGTGTACTCTTTCATTTGTTTCTGAAATTTCATATTTTAAATATGTTTGTTGTTATACATTTAAGCATGTTTATAAATGGAATTTTAAAAAATATAAGATAAGTAGGAAAGATATGTTACCACTGCTTCTTCTGTCACATCGTTCAAAGGTTTCCCACCCTTCCTCATGTGACCTTCGATCCATACATCAACTCTTGTTATAGAGTCAGGTGCATCACTTTTTTTTCTCTACACAGGAACAATATTTATGTACAGATAATAGAACATGTTAATATCGTACAAGTTAGTATAATATTTGTGTAAAATTTGCTAATAAAAAAATATTACCAAAAAGAAAACATAGATAAGTGCTATATTGGTGTCACAGGGGTATTTCAATCATTATACTCTTGTGTATTTATGTGTTTTTCTCCTTCCATATGCTGAAATTCATTACAGAGTTTATATTTAAATACTTACACACATAGATAAGTGATGCAACAATTACAAGTCCATTGTGAGGGCAATTCTGGAATTTCAGTGTGCTATGAAGGACTCTCTATAGTGTGCCACGTGCACTGTGGTCCTAGAGGGAGAAGAAATGACAGAAATGTGTATTATAATCTTTATTTGAGCTACATTTGAGAGGCTGTGCTAAAGAGGACTCGAGACTAAAGAATAAGAGAGGTTCACAGAGATTTTATATGATCATTTGAGCTGAAATTCAACCCTAAATTCAGTATAAAATGAGGGTCTCAAAGATAATCAAAAAGGGCTGAGAGTATACTGATTTTGCTGGTGTAAATCTAGAGGCTGTGAAGGTGAAATTTGGCTGTGGTCTTTTCTGGAGCTGAAACAAGGGCTAAGCAAGTATAAGTTGGTGATTTACATCTGCAGGAAGCACAAAAACAACAACTCTAGAGTTGGTATCAATTCTCAGATCTCAAACTTGCTCTATATTTAATTTCTAATGCATTGCAGCTATATGTGAACTTAAAAGTGATACATCTTTATGTTACATACATTATTGTTGCTTGATCATGCTTATAATGATGATACATAGCTGTACAATCTAAGCTACATATTAGAAAAATAACCTTTACAATTTCAGGCCTAATAGACTTAACAAATCAGGTTTTGTTTAAATTTAATGGCTTGCTGTGAGTACTGTGACTGTCATACCTGAGTGTAGTTAACGTAATTTTCATCTGAGCACATCTAGTTTGATATTATATGAATGGGAGAATCGAGAAAATTACAGTAGCAGCAAATACACCTGCTGTGGGTCTTTATTTTGCTGCTATTTGTGCTGCATTGTTGTGTTCCTGCTAATAGAGTTTGTTCTAGCTATTGTCCAAGTTTAAAATATAATTTTCAAGCTATGGGATTCCTTGGTTGTTGTGCATTTGGAGTTTCTAGAGGGTATATTTATCAAAACTGAATACAAGGGTTTTTATCTTCAAAGTTGCTGCTGTGAGCTGTGTTAACTGATATCTTGCTGCTTCATTGTGAACATTCATCTAAGCAAGATTGGGTAGTTATATTGTGTCTGTGGGAAGTCTCTTGTGCTTAAGATTCCAAAGAAATTTTAGATTAACCCTTATCTGGCTGAAACCTTGACTATGATAGTTCTCAAGACTGATGTGCATCTGAAATTGTTATATCTTGCTTGATTCATTGTGTTTAATTCTTAAGCAAGTATATTTTGTCTATTAAAGCCTATGAAAGTGGAGTGTGGGCTCACACTGAAGCTACATTGCAGAATTGTTTTGCCAAGCTACAATGTGACGACCATGGTTTTTAGGCTAGCGTGTCCTGTGATGAACCGTAAGGATGATCCGATAACGGATCTGAATGTGGAAGCGAAAACAGAAAATAAGACTCTAAGAAATCAAAGTGACCTTCCATGAGGTCGTGGAACTCAACAAGAACTGATGCGGAAGCAAAAGATCGAAAATATGACAAATAAGCCCCAAGAGCCAAAATAGTCATTTTTAAAAACTGTAGATTCGGGTGCCACCGAGCACACCACTAGAAAGACAACGAAAAACTAATCAAGATGGACTCAACAATCGCATGATTAGGAGTCCGGACGAAGGAGAAACGGCATGACGAAGAAAAACGAGCACTTAAAGCAAAAAGGGTAAAATGGTAATTATCCAGGAAGAACCGGGTGCAACTGAGCACACCGTTGGAAAGACCGCGAAAAATTAGTCAAGTTCAAAAAAAAGTTCACTCGATTCGGAATCCGAACGAAGGAGAAACGAGGGTTTGAAGTTGAGACATTGCGACGGCCCGACGAAGGCCATGGCGCACACGGCGCCCACGTGCGAGCCCACCGGCGCGCATGCCGATGCCCAAAGACATGGCTAGTGGCAGCCCTTGGCTGCTGCTACATTTTTTTATTTTATCTGCCCAGAACTGAGGCTTGAAACGGAGGTCAAGACGAGTTTTTCTGAAAAAAACACGAAGAAGAAACCCCCCCTAAAATTGAGTTTTCTATCCAACAGCGAGAACGGAATCGAAAAAATCTCACTGTCAAATCCCCAAAATGCCCCTAGATCAGAACTGAACAAGAGGGTTAAAAGTTCCTACAGTGACTGTCTGCAACTGAGAGCAAAAACGGGCTAGAAGATAAATTTTTCTGGAAAAACACAAAGAAAAAACCCCTCTCAAAATTAAATTTTTTACGTGACTTGCGAGAGAATTAAAAAAAAACGCAATGTAGAATACCCGAAATGCCCCTCGATGAAATCTAGTCATGGAGGTCCAAAAAGCTGCTAAGTTGGAAAACTGAGAGCTGAACTTCGTAAGCGATTTCCGATATCAAGACGACATTTTCGGGAAAAACACGGAAAAGAAACCCCCCCTAAAATCATGTTTTCTATTCAACCATGTTGAAAGAAGAAAATAAAACCATAGTGAAAGGTCCATAACGCCCCTAGATCAGAATATGCAAAAAAAAAATGAGAAATGAATTCACAAGAGGCTCAAAACACAAACGATAAGGTTTTGTCTGGAAACGACCATGCACACAAATGTAACTTACCTATTTGGATGTGCTACAATGATCCACGACTTAAATATACCACCGATACAAAATTCGACCCCCTAACGGGCAAAAAGGCAAAAATGAAACTTGGAATGAAAACTCAAAATCCAAAAATACAAAACGGGATCAAATGACCATTTGTCCCTTGGCCAAACTTCATACAAGATTAATAAGACCCTATGAAAGAATGAAAATGAAATTCCCACACCCGATGCAACCATGGTGAAGCAATGACTTGCGATTTTTCAAGCTTTTCATAATATTTTACGAAGTTAAAAAGTTGTGTAGAATACAATATACATGTCATTGGCCTCCAGCCTCATCTCATACATGTTAAATACACTTATGTACACATTACATACATTGAATCAAATATACATATTTTGACATATAAGTCTACAAAATGACATTTCATGCTAACATTTGCATGAAATGGAAACTCGAAAGCTACACAACATCCAAGGAATGCTAGGCGTCACGAACTAAGTATTCGTACTTGAAATATGCCCCAGTATCGTAGGGGTGAGTAACATAAAGCAACTCGTAGGAGATGAACATGCATCGACCTAGCATTTTACAAATATATCACCTTAAGGTGAAACATGTTAAAGGGGTTCATGCCACCTGACGTCTATATCGATATGAGACTCAGGGAGCATCCTAAGCTACCTTAGAGTGTTTCTAGCATAAATCACATCATCTATGCCATTTAAACAATATGAAAGCACGTTATACAAAGCAACAAGATATATGTTCTTAAAGGTATTAATTTGCAATCTAACCACATAAAAACATATTATACAAGGCAACAAAATACAATTTCTTAAAGCTATCAGCTTGAAATCTAAAGCACGAAAACTACAAAAGTGGGTCATGCCACCTAACGTCTAAGTTATAAATGAATCAATAGGATCAATCCTAAGCTTTGTTAGAACGTCAAAACACAATTTTCAATATCGATGCAATTTTAACCAACATTGGAACTTCCAATACAACGCATAAAGCACAATTTCGCAAAGTTAACATCTTGTAACTTAAAATGGAATGACAAATAAGAAACAACAAGTTACAACATCATCTAGTTATCAACTTGAAAATGAAATGCAAAATCAAAAAAAGTGGATACTCGGACGTCACGCCGGATCAGACCGACAACATAGTTACTTTAGGGTTACTAGCCCATGGGTAACCTTCCTATGTGCGCACTAGACTATATATAGAGGGACTATACCCCGTACCAGAACCACGTCTTACCTATAGTCAAACAACGACATCCCCAAGTTTCCAAAGTCAATAAGTTGTGCAACAATGCATATATCAACAGGAATATGCAAGATAATAATCTATCTACTAAGCATAACCAAATTTGGAAACCTATACAATACATGCTCTAAATCCATAACTAATATGATATGATGAATGTCGAATCTTCAGTGTGCGATTCGTTACACACTATACATGAAAGATGTTAAACATGAAGTGTGCAAATCATTACACAAGGCAACAATATATTCAATAAGGAAAACATATTCTCATGAATACAAACATAGCAACTATGTTATCCAATGTTCAAAACATAACCAAATGAATATACAACAAGTCTAAGTCCATGATTTGAATATAGAAACCACTTCTAAAACACAACTAGATCATGGAGCAAATTGATAGAATTTAAATAGATAAGCACAATTAAATTCTCTAGATTTCTGATTCAATTTCAATTAACCTCAATTTAATACATGTTAAAGGGCATGGCAAGGTCATCACCTATATCCATTCTAAAACTCAATTAGGTTGTTAGAACAACAAAGTAGAACTTTAATTAAATCATGCTATTTTAAATCCCAAGGTTCTAAAACAATTTCAAATAGTCCCAAATTAATATATACTATTAAACAAGTCATGGCCAATACAAACATCAAGTTAAAACTTTAATTAAGCTAATGGGACCACAAAATAGATTTTAATTAATTCTTTTAATTAAAATCTCTAGATTTTCAAACTTAACCAAATGCTCTCAATTTAACATATCTTAGAGAACATGCCAATGACTAATGAAATATCACATTACAAGCTTATTTCATGCAAGTTACACCTATGTAAATTAAACTTTCACTAAAGTTAAATATAAAATAAAGGTTGCAATTCTCATGTAATTAATCCAAATTTAATATATGTGAACAACCACACCAAAGCT